GTATAATGCCTGATGCCATCTACAAAGCATATTTTTTCCATTATCTAATCACAAATAAACATGCCTACAACGGCAAAACCTACTACCCTTTTTGGGAAATGTGATTTCCCAAAACCGCTATTGGTCTAGTGCTTTGATATCCAGTTCTTATTAACCGAGCAGGAGGTCTGTATGGGAGAATCTTGACCGAGGTCGCCAGTACAGACCGAACGCAGTGAGGTCTGTGCCAGCGACCGAGGTCTAGATTCTCCCATACAGACCGACCTAGCTCGGTTAATAAGATGTTTATTATATGGCTGTGTGTTATATGCCAATCTTTTATATTCTTTGTACCTTTTTTTTGCTAGACCGGTCTAGATGGGAAAATCTAGACCGCTTTCAATATTGATTTCAGCCTATCAAATTCGTGAATCCGGTAGTTCCCAGTCGTTGTGAAACACAGCCATATAATAAATCAAATTAATGCCGGACCACGCTAAGGTTACAAAAATACAAAACATCTGATTTCTTAATTCTTGAGCGACTAGAAATCATGTGCAATCTCCTCAGTTGAGACAGGCTATCAGTGTTTTTAGAAACATAGAATCTACTGTTTGCCACAGAGGGAGACCAATGCTTTATGAACAAAAGACAAACATCTATCGCGTTTTGTTGTGAATTGATGTTTCTATCTCGACACTAATAATAATAATAATAATAATAATAATAATAATAATGATAATGATATGGCTCACTGGTTACGGTTTTCGCCCTGTGCTGCCTGATTAGAATGTAGCATTCAGTTGATTTCTCTGCGATAATAGTAACAAATATCTTTAGCCAGGAGGCAACCTCACCCTCAGGTGGTTTTCAGGCTGGTCCTGAGTAGAAATTATAATATGTAGAAGCTAAAAAATTGTTCAATTTAAGAAAAGTTAAAAATACAGTTACAATAGAATCTTAAGATAAAATGTAAAATTCAATAACAAAACTAGAGAACATATTTTATACAAGCTTCATAAATAAATCAAGGCTATTTGCACTTCATGTAGACATTGGAAGCCTGTTCCATTCGTGTAGCGCTTGATAAATCAGTCTTCGTTGCCCCCACAGGCACCGCGCCGAGATTTGGGCAAAAGAACGTTGTCTTTGTGCCTAGTGTTATAATGGTGTATTCCCCTTGAGTGTGTAAAATTAAAATTCCAGTTAATCAGCCCATGCATGCATTTAAATACAGAAGAAAGACAGTGTTGCCGTCGCCTTTCTGATAAAACTAGCCAATCAAGCTCATTAACTGCCTCTGTTTCGGAAGAGTGTTTAGCTTTGTCAAGGATCAATTTAGCGGCTTTGCCTTGCAATAACTGGACTTTAGCCATTAGAGTTTTGCTGTATTTGTCTCCCCACACACTGTCACCATAATCCACACTTGATACAGAATATGACTTGCATATTTATAATTTAGGAATTGATCCAAATGGGCCTTTTGTCAAAGTATAAAAAGTTTTCTCCTGGGCACAACTATATCTGTGACCGCCTCCGGGAAAGATAGCTACCAATTCGGCCGCACTGTATTACAGTAAAAGGTCGACTTTATCGATGAATTATTTAGCTTACATAAGCGTGAGAATTTTTGTTTGACCTAGTCACAATTTTGTATGTCTACTTCGAAATGTTTTCAAAATAAAAATCTTAGCCTAATAGCGATAAGGTAGGAAAGAGTCTAAGTTAGAAGTGTGACGAATTGTGTGGTGCAATGTCAATTTTTTGCATGTGAATCTCGAGCAGGACGTGGTCTCGGATGGATACGAATCAAAAATGTAAAACATAACAACGAATTCGGTGATCCCTGTTTTTGGTAGAAAACGAATCTTAAAGCAGACTCGTTGAACGTCGCGCGCAAATTTCGTTCGCAAAGATCTTTTAAAAGCCTGGCCTGCTGCCGCAGATGTTCTTGAGTAAATATTTCAGGTAATATTTCAAAATGGTCAAAAGATACTTTTCATCGCCTTCATTTTTAAGATAAACTGCGATATCTACCAAAAAAGGTGTCAAATTCCTTTGACAATACGGAAAATCCACTCTAAAAAATTTATGAATTATTGCAAAATGAAAGTGGAAGGCTTGATCTAATATTGTGCCTACGATCATACTTGGAAACTACTATGAAGGCAGATTAACCCTCTTTAAATATTAGCAATGTTTGAAATAAGCAAACTGTTTTGCGTCACCTTAATTTCTGTGTAAGTCTAAGATGTTTGTTTTTTCCTCTTCGATGTTCTTACAAACTTACATCAAAAAGGCAAAGTAATAATAACGACCTAAACCTGTCGAAAGTGATATTAAGTGCTTCTCTTCGTCTCTTCCAGTAACCATCTGGAAAGGTAATGAACGGAAGCCGTCACCGCCTTTCTAAGTTCGTTATCTTACTGTCTTCTCAGTATTAAGTACAAGCAAAGGAGTTAGTAGTTAGTTCTCAAGTCAGCTAAATGGAAGAATTTGGACATGCCTCGTTTCTTTCGATACAACATTGTCAAAGTTTATTGCAAGCATACATGTGCCTCTCCTTCTTTGTTGGTAAATGACACGGATTCTCGTTTTGGCTTTGGCTTTGTCTTTGGCGGCTTTGGTTTAGATTTCGGTTTGGGGACTGTGTTCGTATCCAAAAGATTCGGGTCGCTGCCTGTGGTCAATTGGCTTTGGGGTTCTTCGGGCAATGGATCATTTTTTGCCGGAAACTCATTAGCCAGTGCCTGATTTATCATTTCAAGGACTTCCTGGCTCGTCTCAGTAGTCGGTCGCTCTTTTGGGTCGCTCAACCAACACGTCTCCATGACGATTTTCTACATTTCCCAAGAGCCCAAGGGTTCGTGCGTTCCTTTGATGTGTGTTGGGCGAAGTCCATCTTTTATTTGATCTAGAAGCTGGAACTGTGAATGCTGGGTGAAGAGCTCTATTTCAAAGGCTGTTTCTGCGTAACACATCTCCCAAAGTAACACACCAAAGCTGTACATATCCGCCTTTTTGTCGTACATTTCGCCAGCCAAGATATCTGGTGCCATGTAAAGAAGAGATCCGCACAACGTACCCGTACCAGATAGTTTCACTCTGTTATCAGCTGTCAACTTAACAAAAGAGAATTTAGTGTGACAAAGAAATCAATATGTTCAGCTAAACTGGGGAAGAGATTAAATTTCATCGCAGTGGCGAATAGGAATGCTAAGATTCCGACCAGCGATATGAGGCTGTGGCCTCGCTCGACTTATATTCTCAAAGCTTTCAGGTTTGTTGGTAATGAAATCAACGAGAACACATGTAAAATAGTTACTCTTTTTTTCCTTCGTCCGTCTGATTACATATCCTCGGATAGTATCCTTTCTAAACCCAAATCACTACGGAGCGTATAACTTACCAATACATTATCCATTTTTAGATCTCGGTGGACATATCCTTGTTGATGGACATAACTCAAGGCATCTATGATCTGCAGAGCCCAGAGCAACACCTTTTTGCGCGCCACTTGATCTTCAGAGCGTGCGGGAGCACTTTCAGCATGGGAAATGAAGTGTGTTTTGAGTTAGCATTCACAGAGCTCTAAGACAATCATTACTTTTCGTTACAAACGGAGATTGTGAAAGATGTGTTCCCAAAAAGTTCACTATGTTTGGATGCTTAAGAACGCTGAAAGGTAAGAAACGATATAGAACATGACCAACATTTCTTTTAATCTCTAGTGTTTTTATGTATATGTATTTTTGCATTGAGTGAGGTCAAACTTGCCCCAAATTAGACTCTGATGACAGATATACATCGAAAACATTGACTTAGGCGCTATAAGATAATATTGTGATACTTGTAAGAATCTTTTAGAGAAAAATTTGTTCAGTGCTTTATCTTAATCGAGCTGCAGAAGTTTTGTCATGAAATATGGAGGGACAGGGTTAAAAGTATTTTACTCAACCCTCGATTCAAAAGCACCTAGTTCTGGTTTGATTTCATTAAAGAGTAGTTTTTGTCCTACTCCAAAAAGCACATTTCAATAAATGCTCTTGTGAGATAAGTTTTGTATCTAGTTCTCTGAAACGTAATTTTGCGTGCAATGCAAATGTAGAGCCCTACCTGAGAACTTTTTCCTCCTTGGTAGAATGCCAAACGTTGCTGCTCCTAAGAGAGCTATTGTTGACTTTGAGCGCCACCTTTGTTTCTGGTTGTCCTTCTTGCAAGAGAATACCACTGTAAACAGAGGAAAAGGTTCCTTTTCCAACAATATATTTATCATCTTGGTTCCATAGTAGTTCCTCTGTTGAGAAATCCGATGTTCTCATGGAACTGATTTTGAAAGCTGTTAATTCTCGCCTCAATACGTCTACACTTGTATTGATAGGTTGGTAGATCCTCTGGATTTCGCACGCGTTCCTCGAATCGTTAAGGAGTTGTTAATAAAATTTCTTTTCACCATCTCTAATTCGAGGAATTTCGGCTTTAATCTGAACCAGGAACTGAACGGCATCCTCCAACTGCTCATTTATGAAGGGGAGCAAGCTATCCTCATTCGCAATGATCCTCAGGCACTTCTTAGATTTCTTCTCCATGTATGAATTCGGATTAGTTTTGAAATCTTCCAGCTTCTTTTTGTATTGGAAATTCCTTTTTAATTTCTTAGTTAGAGAAGCCATGAGAGTAGTTCTAAGTACCACTGACGCCAAACCTTGTCGGTGCCATACTGGAGCCTTGCCTGATGGAGGTTTTTTAAGAAGTGTTTTAGGTTGAATTGTTGGTAGCGTGGAGTATGCACCGTTGGGCCTGTTCTGCACTGAATTTTCAGAAAGAGCTCCTTCTTCTACGTTTCTGAGATCTTCTTCCATGATGTCATACTTCTCGATACAAAGTCGAATCAGGGAAACGTAGCTTTTGGCAAAATGATGTTTCTCATCTTCCCATTCCTGTATAAACTCCCGCGCTCTTTCGGAGATGCACCTTAATACTTCACTTTTGGCTTCTTCCCACGTTGGTTTAATAACAGGGATCTCATACTCGTGCCACGAACAGAATTTATTTGCGATGTCGTCTGATTTGAAATGGGCGACAAGATCAGTAATAATCCCTTTGATTACTTGCATTTGGTGTTCACTCAGCTCGTCGAAAAGGTTGGTCCTGTTAGCTTTCCAGTTCAGCTATTCTATTCATCACTCGTTTTATCTTCTTCTCTATTTCTTTGCGTGACATAGTCGTTGTTTTCAACAGACTGCAAACTTGACGAGACATCCGAGACAATAGGTCTTCAAGCCACCTACAGGATGTTCAAGAGAGTCAAGTTCACCGAAATAACTTTAATTCCGTTTAATTACTCGCGCGATCTTGAAAGCCCTCTCCTTAGGCATGAATGACGATCAACGTGAGCGGAAGTAATAACCCTTGAATTATTTCAGGAAAACTCCATATGTATTGACATCGTCGCGGTAGGAGACGTTAATTTCCCACGCACGAAATTACTGTGTGGTGGATGTCCTCCCCTGGGGTGGGATGGGTGTGAATTGGCCCTGAAAAGACCCTATGGGGAGTGGTCAATTAACGTATGTATGTATGTATATGTATGTATGTATGTATGTCCATTTACGTTGTATCTTTGATTTGTAAATGAGGTCAGAATTTCACCGAATTATGCTAATGAGGTCCGAAATTAGATCATCGATTTAAGGACTATAATAGAATTTTGCGAATTTAAACCCTTCATAGATGTATTAATTTTTGACCCCTCCCCCCATTCATCACTAGGGACAAAGCTTACTTTTCATACTCAAGCACTTAAAGACATAGTTAACTACGCGAACTTAGTAGTCCATCTTGCCAAAACGTATCCCGAATTCCGATACATATAGCGAAAAATAGAGTTGTGGTTTGAGTTGCGTAGATGTAAAGTCCATTGTAGTCTATCCCCTTAAATTTCATATGTTTCCCCTGACGATTTGCTGCTGCTTGCTCATATGAAACTACAACGCAATGACCTGATCAGGGGCGGGTTTCTCGGGAGTCTTGTTAATTATACGAATCCCCAAAAGGTGGTCTTCGTATGCCATTTACATTGAAAAATATGTCATTAGAGTCTTGAAATTTGAACAATAACAGCAAGGCAAAAGTAATGGCTAGCCGATATCCAAAACTCCTTTAAATATATCTTGATTTTTAAATATGGCCTTGGGTGCATATCGTTGTCGGGACCCGGGGCTTAAACTTGGATCTCTCAACCAAGAGTTCAGCGCGCTGGCCGCTAGAATTGTTTCAGTTAAGCTGAGGAGAAACTCTATTATCAATAAAACTCAATGATAAGTTGAAAGAGCATTCTTTTACTACAGCATAAAGCTCTGTCAGCCAATATGATCCTTCAAGTGGAAAGATGTCGTTATTTTGAACTTATGTTTGGCTTACCTAAAGTAGATTTGAAGACTACTCTGTACATAGGACACAACGAGATTGCTTATTCCATCCAAAAGTTTAGCGAATTCCTCAGTGATGACCCCATACTTCTGTGCGCACTGAGCTCTGTTGCAAGATAGATTGAAGATCTGCTTCTCCGCATTAAGGTCTCCAAACCTTTCAGTAAGTTTCTCAATTTGCATTTGCTTCACTTGCTCTGCGTTGTTGCCAGGAACTTGATCCCACTTGTTGGAAAAAAATAATGCGCACTTGGTAAACAACCTGTCGTCCATTCTTTCATCCTTCTTAAGACTTTTTGCTTCGCTGAGCAACATAAGAAGCTGTTTAGGAAAATAAAATATCAAACTGTAAAGTTATTTCGCTGGGGTACCTAAAGTAAAAAAGGCATGAAGACGTCAGAGAAATGAATACACATTTAGTGACTGGTATATGATGACTGGTCCAGGAAGAACGACTTTTCTTCGCCTGTTTCTCCTGAAAAGAAAATGAGGCCCTAATGTAAAGCGAGGTTGGGAAAGGTTACAGGTGTTTTATCACAAATCTAAAGAAGTAGCAGCAAATAAACATGATAATTAATACAAACTAAGGAGACTCAATGAGGAAACATTCAAACCGAAAATTGAGGCATGAATTAAAACACCGACAGATGATTATAGGGCTACGCGGTTCGAAGAAATGGGGAAAGTACAGCGCAAGCCACAGTATCCTCTCCAGAAGTAGTCCAGATAATTGGAAATTCACTAATGTCTCGATCATTCATTCATGGTCTGAGTTCAAAAAACATATTAAGGAGAGGAATGGGAGCTCACTCTGTCCCTCTGAACTCCTCCAGCATTAGTGCTGTTAATCACATAGATAAAGCAAAAGGCTTCAGACAGGTAGTTTAGGACAAATTTATTCATGGTTTCGTTTTCTCCGACTCCAGGACTATCAAAAATCATGACACCTTCCTACAAGGAAAGAAGAAACATTTAATCATTATGTAACCTTTGTTGAATTGATAGCGATCATAGCGCTACTTTATGATTGTAAATGTAAATAGATACATCTCCTTTACTTTTATGATCGTTTGCTCCAAGTATGGCTATAGAACTCACACCTCGAGTTTATAACGAAGGAAACTCACGCTGATTTGGTTTGATCCTTGCTGGATTATCACCCCCTTTTCTACCAACACATGTTAGGGGAAGGCTAGACATACAGTGAATGGATCCAAGAGTTAAAGGAAGCTAGAAGGAGTTTTTCATTTTTTTGAAGGTCGCTCATTGAATTCCGTTAACAACAAACACTTATTTTTGCTCATTTTGTTTTTGTTTTGTCTTGTTTTATTTTTTTCTTTCGAGTTATACAACGCTGTAGTTACCTTAAGCAATTCATGTGGCCAAAACAGTTCCATTTTTTGATAAGGAGATCCTTTCTCTCGTCCATTTTTTAAGTTGAGAAACTCTTCTAACTCTCTTTTAAAATCTTTCGAAAAATTTTCAAATTCCCGGTAAATGGGTTCCTGTATATCGTCGCTTCCTCCCTTGAAGTGCACGCGAATGGCACGTTTCGCCAAATTTCAGCTCGCATATAGTTGATGTGGTAATAAGAATTGAATAAGGAAGAAGTTCCTCTCCAAGGATGAGGTTGATAATGCTACTTTTTCCTGCACTGGTTTCACCTGTTTTTCAAAGATGATCTTTGTTAGTAACAAAAGGGGTGGGAATGACGCCAATAACGTCTAGGAACAACAGACCTCAGTCATTGGAGAACATGATTTCCAGCCTATCAGGTAACGTTTATATTATCAATTGAACACCTATTTGGTTTGATAGTATGGTAAGTAAATTCTTTATTGCAAAACAAATTCTTGAAGTCAGTGGGTTTGGAGTAAATGTCCATTTTTGATCGGGATTAAAAAACTGATTGACAACTAGAATTTTCGTCCTTAAATAACTTGCGTATTATGAAAACACACTGTGTTTCAAAAGCCTTCAGTTACTAGTGAGTTTTGTTCTTGTGCTTCTACCTTTCAACTGAGTGTGATACGCCAACTGGATATATGCTAACTTAAGCTTCTCGCGGTGCGTAACGTTGTGACTGGATACCTCCCACAAGACTCCTTCAGCTGTATGGAGTCTTTTATAATGAATAAATAAGTTGGAAGTTGGAAGTTGGAAGTTGTGTTACGTGACTGATTATTACATCAAATGTCCAATTTCTTCTGCATTAATACTAAAATTTTAACTGCATGGCTGGGAATGATAGCGCTAAATCAAAAATTTTTTCTCTAACAATTTGGTTTTTTAAATTCAAGAAATCTAAAGTTGTGGTATACTGAAATTTTTAGAAACCAACAAAAAGTGGTTGGTTAGATGTATATTTCGTGCCAGCACGAATGATTTAATTTGTTACTTTAAAATTTTGTCGCTGTTTAAAGAATTTCAGTGCTCAATGGAGATGTTGGGGTCGGAGGTGACTTTATTTGCGGTCTTTTTCAAAACAAAGGAAAGTTGTTATTGCTTTAGGGAGAGGCAAGAGAGGAAATGAAATAGACAAGAAAACCTTCCGTAGAGACTGCCATCTTCATCTGACAGAGCGAAAAGTCTTCCCATAGTCACACAGGATCATTCGGAATATTGGCTTTCACTAGACCGGTCATAAATCAATTTAGTTAGTTGTTTTACTTTATTTATTCACTTAGTCTGGTATTCCAAGGAAAAATAATACATTCCGTCTACCCAGGTGGTGTGCCCACTCCAATTGCATTGCATTATGGTTACGTTATTTTTAATACGGCGGTAAAAGCGGCAGAAATCGGCAGATTTTGACTGAACATTCCTTAAAAGTTAAGCCGTTTCTTTTTCCTTTCACTATTGGTATATATAATTTGATATATTCTGAATGTGTAGAAGTATTTTTTGTACGTATTTGTTGCGTTCTCAAGGATAAACGCAAGCACTGTTTCTTAGCATGTAATTCGAGACCGCTTTTCGAGAAGGTCAAATTCGTTGTACGTCTTAGTTTCAAGCCTTTCAAAGACTTATATGACCACTTTGATCCTTCATAGAACAGTTCTAGCCAAACGCGCTCTAACGCGCTCCAACGGTACAAATGGTTTAAGCATTTTAAGTGATAGTGTTTGAGACCCTTTTATGAAGCGAAAGGGCCCATTGTTGCGTTTAGTGTGTTGCGTAACGTTGTGAGGCGACACGTCGAAAAGCCGAAAAGCCAAAAAGCCGGCGGTCGACCACTAAAAGGTGTTGATAGCCTGTGCGTCTCCTACTGTTCGCTAGCGCTTTTAAATCTTCTACCCTCAAAGTTTAGCTCTTATTAGGATATCTCTTCACGAATTTCCTTTGCGTTGTAATAATAAGGGTCCGTTTTGAGGTGTCATTTCCCAATCTGTATGCTCGTGAGTAATTTGGTAACATCAACTAAGTTGAAATTGTAAATTGGACGCCTTAAAGAGCTAGCTTTTTTTTTTTTCAGGTTTTTAGCTCTTTACGGGGGCCAATTTACAATTTCAACTTAGTTGATATCACCAAATTACCTCGTTGCCCCCACCGACCCAACACCACAGTTTCTTTAGAAACCTACCCCCTTGTATGCTCTTGAGGTTTGGCAAAGGCGGATGAGATTTTGTTACAAAAGGCAATATATTCTTCTGCGCGCGCGCTATTTTCTTTGTTTTGAAGTATACTTCTCTCATGCAGAAATAACTCCAGAGATACGTTTCTCAAAACCCTCATCTAGGTTTCCTCTATTCTCAAAGGGTATTTTTAAACTCTGTATGTTTTTACTAAACGAGGAGTGAGATAAATTCGTTCTTAGGAGGCGTGGGGCTTTTCCTTTTAAAAAACCTGTATTTACGCTTGGTGAAAAAAGTTCGTGTATTACAAGGTCCCTGTCTCTTTAACATATGTTCGCATGTCAAGGGTCAATTCCCTGTTAAATAAGTCGCGTCTAAGGATATAATTTCTGACTGTGAAGTTATTCATCCCGCCATCGGTTGTGAGTAGCAGATTGCAGTTTGGAATCTTTCTTAATAACGTCAGTTGCCTCCCAAGAACAAATTAGTCACGGAGGAATGACAGGAGTTGCGCAGGCCCGTCAAACGTTTAAGCTTTCCAAGTAACGGAAACAGTCGGTGATTCCCCAATATAATCCACGTGTATGCACGCTATCTCGCTGCCATCAAAGAAGTTCACTACAACGCGTCAAAATGCAAATGACTCAAATTTTGTTTTACTATTATGATGCAACGCAATCAGAGTGCGCACACCGCCTGCCGTCTCCCTAAATATTTTACCGCGAATTTAAGGGGGTTAGAGTTGCGTCTGACCTTGTTCACTGACCACATTTCTACGTTAGATATATTTCGTACTCTTCCTACCTGCAACAAGAATTACATAGTGATCCTTTAGCCTGATATTTTCAACATTTTTCTTCAAGGTTGTTCTAAAGTCCCCCATGCCTCCTTCCAGGTTTTTCACGATGACTTCTTTTAAGTCACTGAAGAATTCTGCTGTATTTTCCTATAGGTCACACGGCTTATCACGTTTTCTTTTGTCCAACTTGCAAACGTCTGAGAAGGTATAGAAACAAATAGGGTTATAACAGAAACAAAAGTTCTTGCAGTAATAACAGCACCTCCTTACTCTTAATACTTCTGCGGTAGAAAAGATTTAGTTCTGTCAAAATTTCCTCAGTAAGGAACTACGGATAAATAGTAAATCGCAGTCGAAGCACCTGCAGAAAGTAAAGGCACTTTCACAAGCGCACTGAGATATGTGAACAATATCTAATGATCGAGGCCTTTTTGCGTTGCACATTGACATACAAACAAAGACCAGATGAAAAGCTGTCAAATATTAAGAACACATTCGTGTCTTTCAAACCTCATTTCCACAAAAATAGCTTTTTAATATTTATGCAACCCCTTTCTTTTTAAAGTTAATATCTCCTAATCAGAAAATTTTCGCCCTGAAGATTGAGCGCTCTCTTAGAGTTCCAGCTCACTTAAACGTTGTCCGATTTCGCTGGGTTTAGCTCATTTCCCAAGAATTAGAACATCATTATTCAGACAAGATTCCTCCACCGACGGATTTCCTAAGAAACTTGCCAGTTGAGAAAATCAGAAGTTCAATGAATAAGGATTCTTATCTTCAAATTTTCAAGAATGTGTCAAACATCTAGTTTTAAAGGGGCGGACTGAAATTTAGAATTTGAACTCCGCTAAAAGAAAGTAAGAAATAAACCGAGAGGATAAACAGAAGCGACTATTTGCTATCTGCCTAAAGGCGTATCATTATATCAGTCTGGAACACCAGGGCTGCATGATGAATTCAGTTAAAAGAACACGGAACAGACATATCGATAATTTCTTTGTACTGGTGAATAAGGGCACCCCATGATCATGCTCTGAGTTCGCATCGTTTCTTGTGTTTACCAAGCCACACACCGACGGACTAGTCTGAATATCATACACGGTAAACGCGAGTCTTACATCAGCTGTGAGGCATTTTGAATAAGCTAATTTTCAACTTCGGTCTGGCTAATGTTTGGTGTTAAAAAAAAAAAAAGAAAAAGATTATTTATAAGGGCCTAATCGCGCCTGTTCTCCTCTTTTTTGATTTCTAATGGAAAAGTTACAGTTTTTACTTCGAGCGGGTTTCCTAAGAAATAAACATTTAACATATAAATTGCAGAACTGCTTAAAGTCAATATGCAAATTTTTCGGGGTTACCAGGTAATCGCGTGCTACCATAATCTTTTTTTAACGCAAGGCAGTGTCCAAGAAATATCTCAAATATTTGACATAACTGACCGTTGAGAAGCTAACAACGAACGAATTTCTTGACCCAGTTCTACTTGCGAATAAATTTGGGGAATTCTTCGTTAAAAAAATTGAACTCATCAAAGATTCTATCAGTGGTATTGAAGTAAATCCTCCTTATTCTGATACTGCTGCTCCAGCTGTAGAACTTGACAGTTTTTCGCCGTTATCAGTGGAAGATGTTTGCAATATAATCAGTACATCGTCTAATGCCTCATGCTCCCTGGATCCAATCCCTACATGGCTTGTGAAGTCTTGTCTTGACGTCCTTGCGCCCTCCATTACTCGCATGGTAAATTTGTCTATTCGCCACGCCTATGTTCCCGATGATTGGAAAACTGCAATTGTGAAACCTCTATTAAAGAAACCCGGTCTAGAGTTAACTTATAAAAACTTCCGTCCGGTAAGCAATCTAACATTCATCTCCAAGATCGTCGAAAAGGCGGTTCTTTCTCAATTGTTTAAGCACTGTGAATACAATGCTCCTCTGCCGAAGTTACAATCAGGGTTTAGAAGATTTCACTCTACCGAAACTGCCTTGCTTAAGGTTCAAAGTGATATTCTTATGTCAATGG